AACTACTCTTCCATACTTTTTTTCCCCTCGCTTCTTTTCACTCATTTCACTTCAAGAAAGGCAATAAAGCCACTAAGATGCAAAGGATTACTGAGTGAGATTATATGAGATAAAGAAAATCTTTTTAAGGAATAAAAGAATGAATTAATAAGACAAAGATAATGATTGATACTGCATTTAAATTTTTGATGATCAAAGTTAACTGGGAAGCAAGAAACTGGAAGGGAGTTCCACAAGCAAGAAGTGTGAGAGAAGAAACTGTTAGTGTAGAACTTACAGTTACATCTTAGCAATTTCAACTGTAAAATGATGAAACCTTCCTGCCAATCTAGTACTGCACTTAAATTCATAAAGTCTACGTACCATAGAGGAAAGTTCATCAGAACAATTACCACGAAAGTATTTATAGGAAAGGCACAGGGAAACTATATTTCAGCAGTGGGAAAAGTGACTGAAGCCAAGATGTCAGGTCAGGACCAATAACATTGCAGATTGTTTTTTGTGTTTTATCAAGAATCCCTAAATACAGAATAATATTGCTTCTGCACCAGATCAGATGTGACAGCAATATTCAAAACATGGACAAATGGTAAACTTATAAATATGTAAGATAGATTCTTACGCATTTATTACTCTTAGTATTTTTACTCTTTCACTTAAAATTCATAACTTTGTCAATACCTCAAGTCACTAAACAACATTTGATACATTATTATAACTCAGTCTGGCTCTGTTACACAACAACGATATATCAGTGAAGTGATCAGATGAAATGAATGTGTTTGATATTTCATGTTTCTAAAAAAAATTCAATTGCCATTCAGAGAATACTTGTGTTGTGAACCGTTTTGTGTACATTGATAGGATTTAAATTAATATGTTGATGCATGTATGCATATAATATATAATTAAAGAAAGATTTATGGATATGCCTGCTAATTGCCTTTTGGATATGATTCATATTTAATATCTTCTTTTTTTTTATTATTTTAAATCTATTTTATGTGCATTTTAAAAATTAAAGAAATTCAGCAGTTTTGTGTCTGAAGTAACATGGGAGTGGGGAATTCATCTAATTAAGCAGGTGTCTCGTTTGTGTCATTGAAATCGTAAGCTTTGTCAGAATTTGGAAAATTTAATTGGTTTACATTTGTGCATTTGGATTATTTTTTTGTCATCAGAATGATCGCCATAATCAGCTATGATAATTATCAGCATTAGTTTTATCCGAAAGAAATAAGCTATCATCTTAATTATCATCATAACAGCCAAAGATATAACTGTGTTATAATTTTCAATATGATTGTAGATAATTTCACGATTATTATTTTATTATCAAACTGATAATTTGGTTAGGATAATGTATAACATATCAATTTGGAAAAAAAAATACGAAAAGAAACCAAATCATGATTTTAGATCTTCAAAGAATTTAGGTTTTATTCAGGGTTTTTTGAAATTGGTGTTTTGCTTTCTTTTTTTTTCTTCATCTCAAGCAAGGTGATAATGCTACTAAGACGCAAGGTGGGTACTGGGAATGAAAAATAATGAAAAGATGCAAGGGTAAGGAACCTAAACCCAATCTTAAACAGGAAACGAGTTATAAGCCTCTATTTCTGCTGAAAAGAGAGGGGAAAGAATGTGAACCAGCTTGTGTGACTATTTTCATTCTATTGTTCATTCCTCCCTCTTTTAGTATAAAAAAAAAACGGTCAACAAAATAGCATTAATCAAAGATCAAATCCTAAAAGCAAAACTATTCAAGAACAGACTCAGGACTGAAAATAATATTTCACCTGAAGAAGATAGAAATCAGCCACTTGATATTTGAAGGAAAGAAGCAACAACAATGTTTGTCCTTACCCAGTGGTGGACATATATTTTTTGGCCCTGAAACTTGAACAAATATGGGGACCCTTTCACAACCAGTAACAATAGATTTGAGGATCCAATTGCCAAAATGTAGGCTATAAATAGATTTTGCCAAGCTCATACAGCTGGCATTTCAGTGCTACAAGCCACCAAGAAAATTTTTAAATTTGACCAATTACGGGAATTTTGAGACTGTATGAAATGGGTGTTAGAACATATTCTAAGACCAACTTTAGCTATTTCAACCCATTGGTTTATGATTCTATCACTAAAATAGCCTTATTTTAATAACAGTTAAAAAAAACATTGCTTTTGTTGAAAAATTCACTCATTAAAAAAAAAGGTTGCTTTTGGGACCCCTCTGCAATTAGGGGTTCTGAAGCTCAAGCTCCATTAGTTTCATCATAGATCTGTCACTGTCCCCACCCCTAAAAACTATACTTATGTTTAAACAAATATTTCTTATACATAATATATCATTTTTCTTCTTGCTCTTATTAACGTTATTTTGTGTACACATGTTTGAGAGGACACCTTTTTTTCCTTTTTTCTTATTATTTTAAACAGTGTGAATTACATCTGCCAGTCTGGGCATTTGAGAGTTTTTATAAAGAAATGTTCTCTGGCAGTGTTTGAACCTGAACCTCCTTTGTAGGAGAAACTACTGATTCAGTATGCTTTAGACCACTTAGCTGCAGAGAGTATCACAGACCAGCAAGAATGGGCATCGTATTCAGAGTTCAAGAGCCCATAGATGCTGATTTTGATTTTGGTATCTGAAACATAAACAAAGTAATTTCTAAGGCGTTAATGGATTTTATTTTTAATCTGAGTATTTTTTATTACTCCAATATATCTGAAATAACTTTATTTAACTTGTTTTGTCAGTATCAGTTATTGAAATTATTATTTTCTTAAAAACTCCTGTAATACATGTCACTATATATATATATATATATATATATATATATATATATATATATGGTATTCCTGAAAAGTAATGTACTCATTCAATATGTTTATTAATATACAAATAAAATGGTATGAATATGTTAGAAGTAATACTATGCTAATTTTCTAGAGTGGCCATCAAAATTGATGCACTTGTTCCATCAGTGAATAAATATTCTCTTAAAAGGAGTATGATATCAGTTGAATAAAACCCCTTTTGCACCACTGCAGCAAAACTGCAGTTCATGTGGAATCTATGTATCTCCTCTGTTCATATCTATCTATGTATCTCCTCTGTTCATATCTATCTATGTATCTCCTCTGTTCATATCTATCTATGTATCTCCTCTGTTCATATTTACATATCCCTCTTGATCTATCTATACATAACTACCTATCTATGGCGTATACAACAGAATATATCCACTTACCAGTCTATTACTTCCTTCGCTCTCTCCATAATCCTTTGGATTTCTGTGGAACTACATCCTAGATAGATGTTGTTTTGGGGACCCAAACAGATGATTATCTAAAGTAACCAAGTTTGATTACCAAACTTGGAAGTATATCACCATAACCCCCCCCCCTCCAATTAAAGCTCAGAATTTAGTAAAAAAAATTCATAGCAGTGGTTTCCTGGGATACAAAAGCTGTGCTGCTCATACACTTGATACAACTTGTTCAGTCAGTCAGCACATATACTGTGAAATGCTGAACAGACTGAGAGAATTTGTACATTGAAAAAGACCAGGATGATTGTGTAAGGAAATTTGTCATCCTGCTGTGCAGCAATGTCATCCCATTTGATACACACAGATTTTGTTATACAAGTCAATTTTTTCACAATAAAATTAGTATTATAAAACTGTATGCTTATTTATAAATAAATTCCAAAACTATAGGCCATAGAAACATATTAGTGATTAATATCCTATATACGCAAATAAATTATTATTTACATTTTTAATATGGGCTCTGTGGAGTAATAGGCCATGGTTAAATGTAACTAGAAAAAATGCTCAACAAGCAGGTTTGACAAAGTTTCCAATTACTAATAAGAAAAGAAGGAAAAAGAACATGGCAAAGCAACAGTAATAAGGCAAAAAGTTCACAAAGTAAGAATGGCATCCAAATGCAAAAGGAATACAGTCAAGTGATCGTAGCATTCAGACTTCAAGAAAAAATAAAAATATAGCTGATGATATGAAAAAGTGGTCCATTTTTATTGGTTAGGTAGAAATCCCAGCATGCATCTGTAAGATTTGTCTATAAATTTGGAGAGTGAGGATATTTTAAGCAGTCATTCTCTTTTCCAGCTGCTGGTCAAAACTCTCTGTCTTCAAGCAGAGAGGAACCTGGATGAGGCTATGCCGAAGGGCAGAGTCTCATCCAGGGAGGTAGACAGATCTGATCCCATTTATGCGGGGTCTATGGGGATTTTTAGGCCGAGCCTACGGGCTTGGGAACCCCACATTAAATTTGGCCTTGTGCTACATGTGACTGTGTGGGACAGTTGCTAGATACCATCATTCTCTTTGAATTGGTAACATGTCCCTTGATATTCTGTAATATTTATCAGTGTTTTTTTATGCTCTTTCAGTTTTTACATTAATTACAGTTCTTATTGCTTCCTAGTGATATTTGCTTGAATATTGTTTTTCCATTTTCATATACATCCCTCTTCACGATGTTACACAAGTTTCTTCTTGGATTAATTTATGAAGAGGCTGTGACCTTCTGTTAATCTAGTGTCTTTGAAACTTTTCTTTTGTGGGGTGGGCAATAGTTAGCTTTGCAGAATGTAAAGGACCATTGTTTTGCAAGAATACAATTTAGCTTAAAGCTTCTTGGTTGTAATTTGTATTACTCTGGTCCAAGAACTTAGAATGATTCTCTGTATTTATCCTAATATTATCATTGTATTTGAAGAGATTTATAACTTTACTACCTACAATACTAACATTATTCCACCCATTTCCCTATCCTCTAAGTCAGGTTGGTTGATTTTCATAAAGTAGTCGATGTCTACCTCAGACATTTGTCATTAAAAATTGCTGTTGAGAAACCAGTTTTCATGTACTTCTTCACCCAGATTATTCTCTGAGATGTTTATTTAAAGTTAGTAGTTTGGTTGCTTTCTTGTCTTTAACAAATATTCTTAGTATTCTGGGATTACGACCATATCTCATTGAAACACTGAAGTTAAGCAACATTAAGCCTGGTCAGTACCCAAATGTGTGACCACTTGGGAATACCAGGTGTTGTAAGTTTGGATGTGTGATGTGCAGGTAGTGTAATGGATGACGACTCTAAATGAGAAATTGGAGAGCAGAGTTTGAATTCCAGTTAAGTTCATTATATTCACTTATACATAAATACCCTTAGGAAAAGTATGAATTCATCTCTTCTCTCTAACTATTGGTTAAACAGAACTTTTATTGGAAAATCATTATTATTGCCAAAGAATTGTAAATACAGTATTCACTCACCAAAAAAAAAAAAAAAAAAAAAAAAAAAAAAGAATTATTCTTAAAATCTAAAAATATTTTCTGGCTTTAAATAACCTGCAATAGGTTGATAAGCTGTAAAAAAAAAAAAAATCTTAATATTCTGTGTATTTTCTCTTTGTTCACATTTACAACATCAGCTTCTTCTTTTCTTGCTGGTCAGTCCACCTTTTCTTACTTATTACCATTTTTAAATTCTTCTCAAATCTCTGTTAATGTTATTCTTAAAACAGGTTTTTTTTTCCTTGCATTTATCTTGCCAATGTTTTCAAAGCTTTTTCGGGTTTTGATTGTTCTCTGATTTCTGTTAATCTTTCTCGCAATTCCAACATTGTATCTTCATCAATTAGTAAATTTACAATATCTTTCATCTTTTTTTTTTTTAAATATCTTTCTTGCAACCATTAGCAATCTTTATAAATCTAAAATTTAAAATATCAGTAACTTTACTGTTATATATATTTATTTCCAAGATGAAGAACAACCCTTGAGTTGCATATTAAAATCTCACATTTCCAAATAAGTTATTGTAAATATTTCTAATAGAAAAAAAAGATATTTATTAACAGAAATTCACATTATGTATTTATCATATAATCATGAAACTTTAACCAAAATTGGTTGGTTAAAATTTTACCAAAATTGGTTGGTTAATAACCAGTTTTGACTGATATTAAAAAAAATCTTATATAGCACAAACATATGTGCATATGCTCACACATTTTCCAGTGATATATACATATGCACAAATGTTGTGTGTGTGTACTGCAATTAGAACATTAAAAATAAAATAATAAAAGAATAACTAATGGCTGCATGTACACACACATGCATGCATATATTTTAAACATCTTTCATTAAATATGACAGAGAAGGAAGATTTGATGAAATTTTAGGTTAATTTTTCCAGCATCTTTACATTTTTGTTTTGTGGAGTAAGGTAGTACAGACATTTTTCATAATTTTCATTGTTCCAAGTGCTTTCAGCCATTTCTTTAGCCATTTTCAAGAGTGGGGGTTTGTTTTTGGTGCTATTAGTTTTTACTTCTGTTTTGACTGTTTAAGCTGTATTTTATTTTTGTGTTGTTTTAAATATGAGTGTTTATTCTGAACCTTCGCATGTTGAGCATGGCTGGAATTCATGTGAGCGTCTTTCTGTTTTTAAAAAACACACCATTTCCATTGTTAAATAAAATAAGGTTGATAGTAGGAGATATATGTTTAATATACAGGGCCTCTCTAATAGATGTTTCTAATAATGTGATTTGTATATAATTTTAGTGTTTTTTACCAGAATTTTTCTTAAGGGTTCTTGTAAATTGTTATTTTTTTTATCTTCAAAACCTATCTTTCAGGTTTTATTAGTCTCGTTATTTTTGAATGAGTCTATGGCTGCATGATCAAAATGTTAGCATTCTAACCATGTGACCCAGGTTTGAATCTCACCATTATTGATTTTTCCTGTGACATCTTGAAAATATTAGCGTGGGGAGATGATCCCAGCAGATGACACGATTGGGAAGTACCTGAAAAAAAAAATGCCACAGGTTGACCAAAACCTTGTGAGTGAAAATGGGTTGTTGAAACCTTTCAGAAGCTGTCAATGGTTGTGCTAGCCCAAAGTCACAAGTCATCATGACCGAGGATTTGAACATACTGGCTTTGTTTAACCACTGATCATTCCAGGTGGATTCTTACCTTTCCTAAGGGTATTCTCCCAGAAACTGTAACTATGGTTCATTCTGCATAGTATAAACCATGGATTGGCGTAGTATGGTTCATTCTGCATAGTATAAACCACAGATCTGCATAGTATGGTTCATTCTGCATAGTATAAACCACAGATCTGCATAGTATGGTTCATTCTGCATAGTATAAGCCATGGATCGTCATAGTATAAACCATGGATCAGCATAGTATGCTTCATTCTGCATAGTATAAACAATGGATTGGCATAGTATGGTTCATTCTGCATAGTATAAACCACGGATCAGTATAGTATGGTCCATTCTGCATAGTATAAACGATGGATTGGCATAGTATGGTTCATTCTGCATAGTATAAATCACGGATCATCATAGTAGGGTCCATTCTGTATAGTATAAACCATGGATCAGCATGGATATGGTTCATTCTGCATAGTATAAACCATGGATCAGCATGGATATGGTTCATTCTGCATAGTATAAACCACGGATTGGCATAGTATGGTTCATTCTGCATAGTATAAACCACGGATCAGCATAGTATGGTTCATTCTGCATAGTATAAACCACGGATCAGCATAGTATGGTTCATTCTGCATAGTATTAACCGCAGATTAAAGAAACACAAATATACCTGAGCAGGTGTCTGTAGCAGAGAGCAGCTAGCCACTCTAGTATATGAGCATTACTTGGAAATGATCTGCCAACCATTATTATTATTATTATTATTATTTCTAAAGCAGCTATCAGATCTCTAAACATGTTTGTCATTCTTCTTTTCATGTTTGTCATCCTCATAATCAGAAATGTGGGTTGTGTAATGGATATCGTCATGAAAACTGGAATCAATGAAGCTGGGTTCAAATTCTGGCCTAGGTTGTTGCATTCACTTTTTCACAAATTCACTTTGGAAAAACATGAATCATTTCTTGCCTGGAGCTTTATTCATAATCAAGTTGCAGTGAAGAATAAAATAAAAATGATGAAAGAGAAAAAAGTATTTGCTGATAATACTTTATGGAAATAAAATCATTATTTCAATATTTTAAAAAACTATGCTTGACTTATCTATTTGTGTGTCTAATTGCAATTGACCTTTGTCAGAGTCCATTTGATAAGATGTGTGACTTTTGCTTGTGGATTTTAATTAAAAAAAATGTAATAAATGAAAAATTACTTATGCTGCTTAATTGAATTAATGATTGATTTTATAGATAATTTTAGATAATATATTTTTTTATCATTTGTACAGGTATGAGTTAATGTTTGCGTGCATTGTAAAATTTTGATTGGGTGAACCACATAATTAGCTAAAGTGTTTTTTTTTTTTTTTTTTTTTAGTAGAAG